CAGCTTCCTTAAGGAATATTCAAAGTCTGGTGGCCACCAAAATATTTACATCAGAATGGCATCTTTCTGCCAAATGATCAGAATCATGATGCACTATGTCGTTTCTTAGGTAAGAAATAGGTAAGGTCCTATTTACATTCCTTCTCAACTTTAGAGAAGGGGGTTCTCATCCCCCAAGAGAAATAACTTCCCAAGAATGCCATTTTGGAATTCCATTACAAGTAAGAGTCCTGTTCCTATTCATGCAATGTATCTAATATGAGACAAAAATATCCCTTTGTGAACTTGGGTGGAATGTGCCAGAATAGAAACTAAACCACTAACGGTCTGTGTTGGGCTCAACTATAAATTTACTTAGTATAAAAATATCACCAACCCCACAAATTAAACCTCAAAGACACTGTGATTATAAATACTGACCACCTAATGTGAACATAAATTTAAAAGAGGACCAATTTATGATCTAATAGTCTAGACAAAGGAAGTATCTCCTTTAAAAGTGATAGAATTCAGTGATCCAGTTACTGCCAATGCCTATACACAAACTCCAAACGGTCCACCAGAAATGCAACAATCAGATATTACGAAAGAAAGAGAATCATTTAAATATTAGGTGTCACATTCTATTTTCTTCCCAGTGATTCTGCTACTTTAAAAATTAACAAAATGGCCGGGCGCGGTGGCTCACGCCTGTAATCCCAGCACTTTGGGAGGCCGAGGCGGGCGGATCACAAGGTCAGGAGATCGAGACCACGGTGAAACCCCGTCTCTACTAAAAATACAAAAAATTAGCCGGGCGCGGTTGTGGGCGCCTGTAGTCCCAGCTACTCGGGAGGCTGAGGCAGGAGAATGACGTGAACCCGGGAGGCGGAGCTTGCAGTGAGCCGAGATCGCGCCACTGCACTCCAGCCTGGGCGACAGAGCGAGACTCCGTCTCAAAAAAAAAAAAAAATATATTAACAAAATGATCAGAACCTAGTAATGATTCTGGGTGTGTGAATGAGTCAGAATTTTCTAAGTTTTCACATTATAAACCTAAATCAGATCATGGACAAGCTGTGAACCATCTGGCCTCAGCTCCTCATTTTACTAATCCACTATTTTCTAAAATTTGCGAGAACATAAGGGCCTATTAAATATTATGAAGGTCAGCTAGGCACGGTGGCTCATGCCTGTAATCCCAGCACCTTGGGAGGCTGAGGCAGGCAGATCACTTGAAGTCAGGAGTTTGAGACCAGCCTGGCCAACATGGTGAAACCCCATTTCTACTAAAAATACAAAAATTAGCCAGGCATGGTGGCGTGTGCCTGTAGTCCCAACTACTAAAGAGGCTGAGACAGAGGCCGGGCGCGGTGGCTCAAGCCTGTAATCCCAGCACTTTGGGAGGCCGAGACGGGTGGATCACGAGGTCAGGAGATCGAGACCATCCTGGCTAACACGGTGAAACCCCGTCTCTACTAAAAAATACAAAAAACTAGCCGGGCGACGTGGCGGGCGCCTGTAGTCCCAGCTACTCGGGAGGCTGAGGCAGGAGAATGGTGTAAACCTGGGAGGTGGAGCTTGCAGTGAGCTGAGATCCGGCCACTGCACTCCAGCCTGGGTGACAGAGCGAGACTCCGTCTCAAAAAAAAAAAAAAAAAAAAAAAAAAGAGGCTGAGACAGAAGAATTGCTTCAACCTGGGAGGTGGAGGTTGCAGTGAGCCGAGATTGTGCCATTGCACTCCAGCCTGGGTGACAAGGACGAAACTCCATCTCAAAATAAATAAATAAATACATAAAATAAAATAGTCAATCAATAAATATTATGAAAGTAAAAGGTAGCTTAAAATATAACACAAAATTAAGTCCACTGATGAAAGATCCTTAAAAAACTCCTACTTTATCTTACCACAGAGTTTCTCAACCTTGGTATTACTGACATTTTGAATTGGAGAATTCTTTGTTGTGGGGCTGTCCTGTGCATTTTAGGATGTTAGGCAGCTTCCCTGGCCTCTACCCACTAGATGCCAATAGCCACCTACAAGGCACGAAATCGCCCCCAACTGAGAATCACTATCCTACAGGGAAATCTCTAATGTAAAATGTTTTACCCAGTGATATGAATAGGTCACGGAATCACTGAAGAGGATCATAGCTCCACTGGAGAAAGCAGGCAGAGAGGTTGAACTATGAGGTAGAAAAGTCATTAAAACATCAGAGATCATTTAAACAGAGAAAGCAAAAATATCAAACACTGTTCCTGGCCAAGTACATTTTCTACACATTCATTTAAGTTTCCTCTTTGCTGAGATCCCTCTTTTAAAATAACAGCTAACATATATATCTGGAGACAGTTTCGCTCTTGTTGCCCAGACTGGAGTGTAGTGGTGTGATGTCGGCTCAGTGCAAACTCCACCTCCTGGGTTCAAGTGATTCTCCTGCCTCAGCCTCCCGAGTAGCTGGAATTACAGGCATGCACCACCATGCCCAGCTAATTTTGTATTTTTAGTAGAGACAGGGTTTCTCCATGTTGGCCAGGGTGGTCTCGAACTCCCAACCTCAGGTGATCCACCCGCCTTGGCTCCCAAAGTGTTGGGATTACAGGCGTGAGCCACTGCGCCTGGCCACAGCTAGTATTTTTATTTTAGATAAGACAAGTATCTCTGGTTCCTGATCATTTTCAATGTGTAACTCTTGATATAGAATATTTTTATTTTATTTATTATTATTTTTATTATTATTATTTTTTTGAGACAGTGTCTCACTCTGTCGCCCAGGTTGGAGTGGAGTGGTGCAATCCCAGCTCACTGCAACCTCTTCCAGGCTCAAGTGTTCCTCTCACCACAGCCTCCTGAGTAGCTGGGATTACAGGCACATGCCACCACTCCTAACTAATTTTTGTATTTTTAGTAGAGACGGGGTTTTGCCATGTTGGTCAGGCTGGTATCGAACTCCTGACCTCAAGTGTTCCATCTGCGTTGGCCTCTCAAGGTGCTGGGATTACAGGTGTGAGCCACCACACCCATCCAAGAATGATATTTATTGAACTACCTGTGATAAAAGAAGTTTTAAATTTTCCCATCTACTGCAGACCAATATGTGGTCCTGCTCTACAGGCTGGTATCCATCCTCTGCACCATGTGGCCCTCTAGCTGACCAGAACTGAACTGGTCCATACCCCACTCAAGAAGACAAAGCTGGCCAGGCGCGGTGGCTCACGCCTGTAATCCCAGCACTTTGGGAGGCCAAGGCGGGCAGATCACGAAGTCAGGAGATCGAGACCATCCTGGCGAACACGGTGAAACCCCGTCTCTACTGAAAATACAAAAAAATTAGCCAGGCGTGGTGGCAGGCGCCTGTAGTCCCAGCTACTCAGGAGGCTGAGGCAAGAGAATGGCGTGAACCCGGGAGGTGGAGATTGCAGTGAGCCGAGATCGCGCCACTGCACTCCAGCCTAGGCAAAAGAGTGAGACTCTGTCTCAAAAAAAAAAAAAAAGGAAGACAAAGCCATGAGTCACAGCCATGTCAAAGTGTTATCAACATTTCTATATGCATAGACTTAATTTCTGACTTTCCTTGTAGCAGAGTGGTAGAAAACAATTTACAGAACAGTGCCTCTCTGTGGGCCAGAGTTTGAGTTGCACTGTTCCAGTTTTAACTACAATTGAGAAGTACAGCTTGAACACCTTTCTAATGCTTTGGCTAACATTTACAAGCCAATTTATAATGTTTTTGACTTCTTTGTTGCTCAAGAGGTAGAAATAAAAGTGACTTTACCATCTTTTGAAAGACGACTATACTTAAAGGAAGACAAGAAGATTTCTTTTAAAATCCATTTTGGATATTTTAACGTAAGACAAAATTATGGAAAATGCCTTCAATTACATTCCGAATTCCTAATACTGCCTGCCCTTTAGCCCTTTAAAGAGTTCAGCCTCTTTTGTTGCAATAATTGTGTGGCTGAAAAGTGGGTGAAAGGTAGACTGCTTTTAAAAACCTGTTCTTCTACTAACCTTGCCTTTCCTTCATGAGGATCTTTTAAAAGATGAACATTTTAGAAATGTAACTTGGCGTTATGGGCTTATACTTTCCCTCCAATTAAAGTTCTAGGCAATGAGGTAGAAGGCAGGACTCAACTCCAAAGGCCGGACTCAGACACGGACCAAACTGAGGACTAGCTAAAACAAGGCGGTGGTGGGAGGATGGTGTGGGAAGCAGCTTTTATAAGAAACGCTCATCACTGGGCCATGTCAATTACCATTGCCATGGCAACACCTGGAAGTCACTGCCCCTTATCTTGGCAATCGCCCAGCGGCTTGGAAGTTACCACCATTTTCCTAAATATTGCTGCATAATCTGCCCCTTAATTTGCATGTAACTAAAAGTGGGTATAAATATGAGTGCCGACTTGCCTCTGAGATGCTACTCTGGGCACACAGCCTATGGGGTAGTCCTAGTCCACAAGGAGCGGCCCCTTTGCTGCTGCTGCAGCACACTGCTGCTTCAATACAAGCTGCTGTCTAACACCACTGGCTCGCCCTTGAATTCTTTCCTGGGTGAAGCCAAGAACTCCCCTGGACTAAGCCCCAATATTCGGGCTTGCCTGCCCTGCATCAGTATAAACTAAGTAAAAGAATGCCAGAGGCAGCTACATTTCCAAGTTACACAGCTCCAACTTTTGGAAATTGCTGGAAAAAGTAGGGGAGCATTTTGAGTTTTGCCCAAATGAGTTGTTTTATGATAACAGAACAGGTTGTAGGTGTAGAATCATCAAATGCCAAACCAGACAGGGAAACCATCCAGACTTGGGGTCATAGCCTCCCTTCTCAGTGCTAACTTAAAATTTTATTCAACTGGGCAAGTCAGGATGCCATAATGAGCCTTTCGGATCATTCTCATGTTTGTCTGCCCCTAAGTATTCCAAGCCTTTAAAATTGCTGGCCTAGATTTAGAGAGTACCTTTTTTGATCGTGTAGCTAGACCGCCCTGCCTGCTTTATATCAATAAAGGTTTCTCTTTAATACGTTGCCAGAAAATTTAATGTGGAATTCATTAGGAAAGGCTTGGCAAAGGTAAACTTGATCCCAAAACTTAATGGTTTTTAGAGAAAGAGGATGATAACAAAGGAATGCAGAGGGCTGAGTCAATATAAAAACAAGCGTGGAGATTTTCTTATCTTTCTCCTAACCACAGTTTGGATGCACAGCAAGAAAAACAGGAGACCTCAGGGCCTGCATTGATTCACTCAGAATTAAGGAGTGGCCAGCAAAGCCCTCAGAAACCAAGGGCACCACACAAAAAGGTTATCTGTCCTTTGAGTCACAAAATCCAACCTCTATCAGATAGTCTAATAAAAATGCACATATAACAGTGAAAAAATGTTCCTCTCAGCGTTCCACAAAATTGAACAAATGGTATCTTTCAACAACAGAATGAGCACTAGCAAGTTCTAAAACCTCTTCTCCACCAATTTATTGCTACGTAAGTGTCTCTCGGTCTGATAAGTTGGGCTGAATTTGTGGTTTGTCATCAGAATCATCTCCAGCGGGGTCATTTTCCTCACCCGACTCCACATAGATTGGCCAGTCATTGTCTGTGTCGCTCTTTTCTTGGCTTTCAGATGAAGCCTCCATCAAGCTTAGGTTGATAGGCATCAAATCATCGTCATCGTCGGGTGTGTCTGTAACACAGGTGCAGCTGTCACACAGCCCGAAGCGCCGCAGCCCCTGGGACAGGTGACTCGTGAATGTTCTCCTGCAGCCCTTGCAGATGATTGGACGGTTGGATCTGTGGACCTGTAATCACAAGCGGACACAGCAGATGTCAGAGAAAAGGAGATGAGCCTTTTCCACAAGGTCCCATGTGATCTGGCCCCTGCCTGACCCTCCGGATTCCTTTTTTAGCACTCCACCTGCATTCTCTGCCACAGTCTTTGTATTAGTCTGTTCTTGCACTGCTATAAAGAAATACCCGAGACTAGGTAATTTATAAAGGAAAGAGGTTTAATTGCCTCACAGTTCCACAGGCTGTACAGGAAGCATGATGCTGGCATCTGCTCAGCTTCTGGGGAGGCCTCAGGAAACTTACAATCATGGCAGAAGGCAAAGAGGGAGTCTGCACTTCACAAGGCCAGAGCAGAGGGGAGAGAAAGAAGGGGGAGGCACCACATATTTTCAAACAACCAGATCTCATGAGAACTCACTATCACAATGACAGCACCAAGGACGGATGGCGTTAAACCATGAGAAACTGCCCCCATGATCCAACCACCTCCCACCAGGCCCCACTTCTAGCATTAGGGATTACATTTCAACATGAGATTTGAGTGGGGACAGAGATCCAAACCATATGAGTCTTCGTCTTACCAAGGTTCTTTCTACCCCAGAGCCATTGGACACATGTGGGACATTCCCTTCTCCTCATCATCAACCCTTCACCCCTTATGAACACCTTGGAAGGAGGTCTCTCCTGATGCTCTAGGCCAGTTAGGGCCCCCAGCTAGCGATTCTCACCCATACTTCTTCCTTTGTTGTACATCTCACAAATTGTTGATAAAATTCACTAGAGTGTAAGCTCTAAGAGGGCAGGGACAGAGTCTGTCCCATTCCTTACTATATGCCCAGTGCTTAGCATACAAAGAGCACTCAAGTGAAAGTGAACTGATAGGGATTTTTTTTTTTTTTTTTTTTTTTGAGACAGGGTCTTGCTCTGTCACCCAGGCTGGAGTGCAGTGACACGATCATAGCTCACTAAAGCCCTGAACTCCTGGGCTCAAGTGTTCCTCCCCCTCCAGCCTCCCAAGCAGCTGGGACCACATGCACCCATGTACTACCATGCCTGGCTAATTTTTTATTTCTTGTAGAGGTGGCGTCTCACTATGTTGCCCATACTGGTCTTGAACTCCTGGCCTCAAGTGATCCTTCCACCTTGGCCTCCTAAGGTGTTGAGATTTCAAGTGTGAGCCACCATAGTTGGCCAGGATTTTTTTTTTTGGAGATGGGGTCTTGCTGTCTTGCTATGTTCCCCAGGCTAGACTTGAACTCCTGGGTTCGAGTGATCCCCCTGCCTCAGTCTACCAAGTAGTTGGGAATATAGGTGTGTGCCACTGCATCTGGCTCTCATTAGGATTTTTGACATGGCTTTTTTTTCCCCTCTCATTGGACACCTTTGGTAATTGATATTTTATTTATTTTTATTTTTATTATACTTTAAGTTCTAGGGTACATGTGAACAACGTGCAGGTTTGTTATATATGTATACATGTGCCATGTTGGTTTGCTGCACCCATTAACTCGTCATTTACATTAGGTATTTCTCCTAATGCTGTCCGTCTCCCATCCCCCAATGCTGACATAGTTTTTATGTACCTTGGATTGTTTAATTATTAGGAAGGCAGATTTGCTAGGGTAGACAGCTATATTCCCCAGATGTGCCAGCAGCTGCTTTGGGAACTATGGTTTTTTTTTTTTTTTTTTCTTCTTCTTTTTTGAGACGGTGTCTTACTCTGTCGCCCCGGCTGGAGTGCAGTGGCCTGATCTTGGCTCACTGCAACCTCCGCCTCCCAGGTTCAAGCAATTCTCCTGCCTCAGTCTCCTGAGGAGCTGGGATTACAGGCACGTGCCACCAAGGCTGGCTAATTTTTTTTTTTTTTTTTTTTTTGTATTTTTAGTAGATAAGGGGTTTTACCACATTGGCCAGGCTGACCTCAAACTCTTGACCTTAGATAATCCGTCCACCTCAGCCTCCCAAAGTGCTGAGATTACAGGTGTGAGCCACTGCGCTGGGCCTAGGAACTATCTTTTTAATGTGTACACTTTTCAGGAACTCCAGCCAATGGGGCTCTGTGAACCAATCACAGCCTCTGTTTTAGAGAGCTCTGGATGCAAGATACACACAAGAGGCAGAGATGAGGAGAGGCTGATACAGGAGAACCACCCACAATTAGCGCAGTCCTAGTGGGTGGGAAGTGGCATCTTATGGTGGCTTTGATTTGCATTTACCCTATGACTAATGATGTTGAGCATCTTTTCATGTGCTTATTGGCCATTTGTCTACCTTTTCCCAAGAAATGTCTAGTCAAATCCTTTGCCCAGGTTTAATTGAGTTATTCATTCTTTTACTGTTGCATTATAAAAGTTCTTCATTCTGGATACTAGACTGTTATCAGATATATCCCTTGCAAATATTTTCTCCCATTCTGAGGGTTTTCGTATTCTTTTTTTTTTTTGAGACGGAGTCTTGCTCTGTCACCAGGCTGGAGTGCAGTGGCGCGATCTTCGCTCACTGCAACATCCGCCTCCCGGGTTCAAGTAGTTCTCCTGCCTCAGCCTCCTGAGTAGCTGGGACTACAGGCACACACCACCATGCCCGGCTAATTTTTGTATTTTTAGTAGAGACAGGACTTCATCATGTTGGCCAGGATGGCCTCGATCTCTTGATCTTGTGATCTGCCCACCTCGGCCTCCCAAAGTGCTAGGATTACAGGCGTGAGCCACCACACCTGGCCAGTTTTTGTATTTTTTTTTTTTTTGAGATGGAGTCTCGCTCTGTCTCCCAGGCTGGAGTGCAGTGGCCCGATCTTGGCTCACTACAACCTCTGCCTCCTGAGTTCAAGCAATTCGCCTGCCTCAGCCTCCCAAGTAGCTAGGACTACAGGCGTCCGCCACCACTCCCGGCTAATTTTTGTATTTTTAGTAGAGACGGGGTTTCACCATATTGGCCAGGCTGGTCTCGAACTCCTGACCTTGTGACCCGCCTGCCTCGGCCTCCCAAAGTGCTGGGATTATAGGCGTGAGCCACCACACCTGGCCCAGTTTTTGTATTCTTAAGAGCGCCCATTGAAGGTCAAGCTATTTGTATGTTAGATTTCCCAAACACTGATTGTCTTGCTCAAAGATGATCATAACTGCACATGGTGGCTCATGCCTATAATCCCAGCACTTTGCGAGTCTGAGGCAGGCAGATCGCTTGAGCCCAGGAGTTCAAGACCAGCCTGGGCAACCTGGAAAAACCCTGTCTCTACAAAAAAAAAACAAACAAACAAACATTAGCTGGGCGTGGTGGTGTTTGCATGTAGTTCCAGCTACCCAAGTGGGGGCTAAGGCGAGAGAATCACCTGTGCCTTGGAAGGTCAAGGCTGCCGTGAGCTATGATCTATCTCTGCAGCCTGGGCGACAGAGTGAGACTCTGTCTCAAACAAAACAAACAAAAAAAAAAGATGATCATAAAATGCAACATCTGCAGCCATAAAAAAGAATGAGATCATGTGTTTTGTGGGAACATGGATAGAGCTGGAGGCTATTATCCTCAGCAAACTAACACAGGAACAGAAAACCAAATACAACATGTTCTCACTTATAAGTGGGAGCTAAATGATGAGAACTTAATGAACACAAAGAAGGAAACAGCAGACCCTGGGGTCTACCGGAGGCTGGAGAGTGGGAAGTGGGAGAGGAGCAAAGAGAATTAATTCCAGGATAAAATAATCTGTACAACAAATCCCTGTGACATAAGTTTACCTATGTAACAAACCTAAAAGTTTAAATAAATAAATAAATAAATGTAACATCTTTCTAAGTGGCCTGAATGGTTTTCAGCTGGTTGGACTCACCAGCTCACATGGAGACAAATCCTAGGGGGCAGCTCATTAGAGGGGAGGGCCTCCTTGGGCTGGGGCCCTCTTTGTCTGCTGCCCACAGGGAGCTCTATACATGGCAGTATACCCTTCCCTTACCCCCAGGTGCTGGGGCTGGGTGGGAAACTGAGGATGCAGCTTACCTTTGGTATCACACTGGTAGGAAGAGATTCACAATCCTGTCTGAGCCCTGTTGTTCTCTACATTACAATCATCACCTCTTACCAGGATCTAAACTTTCTTGGTTCTTCCCCTGAGAAAACTAGTCTAACTTGAAGTTAAAACTTAACTCTAACATATAAAGTTTTAGCTTTCTGTAAGTGCCACCACCTGAGCTTTAATTTAGTAGTAAAAATATGTTGACAATTATCTGAAAACATCCCAGTAGACAGAGACATGAAAGACAGGCTGGCTGTACCCTTCCATTAGATGAGATCATGAATCGCTCTTGACACGAGGGCATGGCCAGCTGGAACACTTACACTCAGGGCGTGGCTCCGCAGGTGCTCCTGTCGCGTGAACCTCTTGCCGCAGGTCTCACAGGGGTAGGGCCGCTCGCCTGTGTGTGAACGGATGTGCCGCTTGAGGATGCCCTTCTGCTTGGCAGTGTAAGGGCAGAAAGGACACTTGTGGAGCTTGATGGGGACCACCAGCACATCACCTGGGGAACCAAATGCTTTCATTTACCTGTGCTGTACGCAGTGACCAACCCTGGCTACCCGCTGGTGGATGGGATCCAGAGCTGGGGAATTCCACCAGCCCAGATGAAGGAGGAGGACACCAACTCCGCCACCAGCCAACAGCAAGACATCATCTGCAATTCCAACTCAGTCTGGCTCCCAATCAGCCCCAGGGTAAAGTGTACTTCTTATAAGGTCGGGAATGCTGTAAGACACCAGCTTCCACGCTTCTGTGTGACTCACAGTTAGAAACTCAGCTTGCATTACAACCTCAGAACACACATGCCTTATGTGGATAACTGGAAAAGTTTCCCAAAACAATACTTACCCTGATAGTGTTTATTCTGTTTGATTTCATTTTAAGACTGCTGGGGGCCAGGCACGGTGGCTCATGCCCGTAATCCCAGCACTTTGGGAGGCCAAGGCAGGCAGATCACAAGGTCAGGAGATCGAGACCATCCTGGCTAACACGGTGAAACCCTGTCTCTACTAAAAATACAAAAAATTAACCGGGCTTGGTGGCGGGCACCTATAGTCCCAGCTACTCGGGAGGCTGAGGCAGGAGAATGGTGTGAACCCGGGAGGCGGAGCTTGCAGTGAGCCAAGATGGCGCCACTGCACTCCAGCCTGGGCAAGAGTGCGAGACTCCATCTCAAAACAAAAGACTGCTGGGTGAGACTCTGTTATGGACTGAATTGTGTACCCCTAAAATTCATACCTTGAAGTCTGTGTTTGGAGATAAAAGCCCTTAAGAGGGTAATGAAGGTTAAATGAGTTTATAAGGTAGGGCCCTAATGATATGACTGGTTTTCTTATGAAGAAGAGACACCAGAGATCAACTGCTCTCTCCTTCTCCCTGCATACCCCCTGCCATTCCTCTCACCCCCACCCCTAGCACACACACACAGGAAAGCCTGTGTGAAGACACAGTGGGAAGGCTGCCATCTGCAAATCAGGAAGAGGCCTCACCAGAACCCAACCCTGCTGACACTTTGATCTTGGACTCTGAGCCTCTGGAATTTTGAGGATACATTTCTGTTAAGCTTCCCAGTCTGGGGCACTCTGTTGTGGCAGCCTGAGCTGACTAATACAACCCTCTGAGTTGATCTCACTACCTTCAGAACTTGGAAAATGCTTTATAATGGATCAGATTTCTAGACCAGAATTCATGCTTTCTTGGACAGTAGTTCCTAAGAATATTTTCCAGGCATACGTAGAAGAGGCTTGCTTTGATGCAGACCCTAAATTGTTTGGAATTTATATTAACTCTACATATGTGAAATCATCAAATATCCAGGAATTCACTTAAATCTTTTTCCAATTTATTCCCTCACCTTGCTCATATAACAATTAAGGTGACAATGTGATTATCACTCATGTGTATAGAAACTGTTCCACTCAAGTTCTGTGAGTTACACTTACTGCTATAGTCATCCCTTGGTATCCACTGGGAATTGGTTCCAGGATACTCCTTGGATACCAAAATCCAAGGATGCTCAAGTCCCAGAGTCAGCCCTGCGGATCCTGTGAATACCGTATTTTCCATACATGATTGGTTGAATCCACAGATGCAGAAGCTATGGACACAGAGGGTCAACTATATTCCGAGATTTCTTCTTTATTTTATTTATTTATTTTACTTTTTGAGACAGAGTCTCACTCTGTTGCCCAGGATGGAGTGCAGTGGCACGATCTTGGCTCACTGTAACCTCCACCTCCTGGGTTCAAGTGATTCTCCTGCCTCAGCCTCTGGAGTAGCTGGGATTACAGGCACCTGCCACTACGCCCAGTTAATTTTTGTATTTTTAGTAGAGATGGGGTTTCACCATGTTGGCCAGGCTGGTCTCAACTCCTGACCTCAGGTGATCCACCTGCCTCAGCCTCCCAAAGTGCTGGGATTACAGGCGTGAGCCACTGTGCCCGGCCCGAGATTTGTTCTTTCTATCCATGCCCTTCCAGATTTACAGATTTTGGTCATATCATATCACCTATGAAGGCACTAGTGACTCAAGCTTTCCAAGTAGAGAAACATGGTTCATGTCCTGGCTCTAGCACTGACCAGCCGTGTGGCCCTCGACATCTTACTTAGCTTCTCTGTGCCTTACTTTCCTCATCTGTAAAACAGGTATGATAACAGTTCCCACCTCACAGGACTGTGGTAAGAATGAAATAAAGTAACACATAAAGCACAGCACGTGGCACATAGTAAGCACTTGCAAATGTCAGCCATGTTTGTCATCATTGTCATCTCTTCAGAATTTTTTTTACCGGGTAAGCAGTCCAGGCTCTTGTGGTCTCTGTCAACACTGGAGTAACTCTTTTCTCTGGGGCTGGCTTGGGATACCTAACTGGCTCTGTCTTTCCTGAGGTGCTATGAAAAGTATGGCACACTAAATTGAATGTGAGAGTCCAACATCCTTTACGTAAGGGTGGAAACTCTCTTTGGTATTGAGTTCCCATCCTAATAATGCCTAACATTTTGCATAATCTATAGTGACTCCAAAATCTGTTTCCCAGGATAAAAGTAGCAGCTCAAAAGCTCATCGCTGCTGACATATGTGGAATTATTAAATCTCTCACTGCTCACACTGGTACTGAGATACAAGTAAAATAGGAATGATTATCTTTTTTTTTTTTTTTTTTCTGAGATGGAGTCTCACTCTGTCACCTAGGCTGGAGTACAGTGGCACGATCTCGGCTCATTGCAACCTCTGCCTCCTGGGTTCAAGTGATTCTCCTGTCTCAGCCTCCAGAGCAGCTGGGATTACAGGTGCACACCACCATGCCTGGCTAATTTTTGTATTTTTAGTACAGACAGGAGTTCACCATGTTGGCCAGGCTGGTCTTGAACTCCTGACCTCAAGTGATCCACCTGCTTCAGCCCCGCAAAGTGCTGAGATTATAGGCATGAGCCACCATGCCCAGCCTGTTTTTTGTTTTTTGACACAGGGTCTCTGTCACCCAGGCAGGAGTGCAGTGGCATGATCATGGCTCACTGCAGCCTCTACCTCCCAGGCTCAGGTGATCCTCCCATCTCAGCTCCCCGAATAGCTGGGACTACAGGCATGTGCCACCACGTGCAGCTAATTTTTTTTTTTTTTTTTTGAGATGGAGTTTTGCTCTTGTTGGGCAGGCTGGAGTGCAATGGCACAATCTCGGCTCACTGTAACCTCCACCTCCCAGGTTCAAGTGAATCTCCTGTCTCAGCCTCCCAAGTAGCTGGGATTACAGGCATGCACCACTATGCCTGGCTAATTTTGTATTTTTAGTACAGACAGAGGTTTAACCATGTTGGTCAAGCTGGTCTCGAACTCCTGACCCCAGGTGATCCACCCACCTTGGCCTCCCAAAGTGCTGGGATCACAGGTGTGAGCCACCATGCCCGGCCACGGGCAGCTAATTTAACAATTTTTTTTTTTTTTGTAGAGACAGACAGAGTCTCACTATGTTGTCCAGGGTGGTATTGAACTCCTAGGCTTAAGGGATCCTCCATGCCTCAGTGTCCCAAAGTGCCAGGATTACAGGTGTGAGCCACAGCACCCGGCCAGGAATAACAACCTGTTTCCTAGGATCAAAGCAGCAGCTCATAGCTCATCACCCTGCTCACTCCTCTGGCACTGTGGAACTTCCCTGTTATTTATCTCCATCACCTTGGCTTTGTACCACACACTTCTTCCTGATTATCTACAAAAACATAAAATAAAATAGGCCCAGCATAAGTCCTTGGAAAAATAACTGTTAACTATTTCTCCATCAGAAAAGTATGGATTGTCTCAACACTTTCTTCCCCCTTCCTGATCTCACTCCCCCAATACAGCAGTTCACCTGAATCCTATTACATGCCAGGCCATTGTAAGACACCTGTTTCCTCCCTCAAGAAGTTAAGTCTAGCAGGAAAGATATGTAAACATATTCATACCATATGAAGCACACATGCAAAGTTCAAAGTGATGAAGAAATATAAATAAAAAGTGATGATTTTCCTTAGGAGTTCAGCAAAGATTTCACAGAAGAGGTTAACTTTGAGCAAGGTTTTAAAAGATGAACAGGAGTTCACTGGGAGTTCAAGACAGAGAAAGGTATCTCGGGCAGAGGAAGAACACGTGCTTAGGCATAGAGGTAAATGAGACTATGAAGTATGAAGTGGGGGTTAGGAATGAGGGCAAGGAAGGAACAAGAACTAGATTGTGATGGTCACATTCATTCATTCATTCTTTCAGCAAATTTATACTGAGCACTCACTATGGGTCAGGCTCTGTTCTAGGGTCCTGGGGATATAACAGTGAACAGAATAGACCAAAGTCCCTGCCCCTCATGGAACTAACATGCTGAGAAATTTGGACTTTACTTGTAAGCAGCCTGGATTTTTTTTTTTTTTTTTTGAGATGGAGTCTCGCTCTGTCGCCCAGGCTGGAGTGCAGTGGTGCAATCTCAGCTCACTGCAACCTCCAACTCCTGGGTTCGAGCAATTCTTCTGCCTCAGCCTCCTGAGTAGCTGAGACTACAGGCCTGAGCCACCACTCCTGGCCAGCTAGAATTTTAAGCAAGGAAGGTACAATGGTCACATGGTCAAATTTTCATGGCCAAATTTAAAAGATCCCTCTGGGCACAATTCAGGGAAAAGACTTAAGAGAGGCAATATTAAAGGCAGGAAGTCCAAGTAGGAGGGGACCACGAGTCTGGATGAGAGATGATAGGAGCTAAGGCAGTGGTTGTGGAGGTGGAGAGGAGTCACACTGAGAAAGAGTGAAATTAACAGAAGGAAAAGCAGGTACAGGAGGAAAGGGGAGTTCAGTTCAGATTTTACAGGGATTGAGGCTTGTGCAGAGCATCCAGGTGGGCATAAAAATTAAAAAAATAAAAGAAACTACCAAAACCTCCCCTGTGACCGGTGTGGTGGCTCATGCCTATAATCTTAATACTTTGAGAGGCTGAGGCAGGAGGACCACTTGAGCCCAGGAGGTCGAGGCTGCAGTGAGCTGTGATTGCGCTACTGCACTCCAGCCTGGGTGACAGCGTGAGACCCTGTCTCAAAGCAAAACAAAACAAAACAAACCTGGCCAGGCATAGCAGTTCACACCTATAATCCCAGCACTTTGGGAGGCTGAGGCGGGTGGACCACTTAAGGTCACGAGTTTGAGACCAGCCTGACCAACATAGTGAAACCCTGTCTCTACGAAAAATACAAAAATTAGCTGGGCATGGTGATGCACGCCTGTCATCCCAGCTACTTGGGAGGCTGAGGCAGGAAAATTGCTTGAACCTGGGAGGCAGACGTTGCCGTCAGCTGAGATGGCACCACTGCACTCCAGCCTGAGCAACAGAGTAAGACTGTTAAAAAAAAAAAAAAAAAAAAAAGAAAAATCCCCTGTGCCTACAGATATAACCTCCCCTCTTTGTATGTAAGGTTTTCCATGATCTGACTCCTGACTCCAATCAATTTTTCCCTGTCCCCTCTTCTTATCTTCAGATGGCACTTCCAGGATGCCTCCCTGATCTCCCAGTAGGAAGCCAGTTCTCCTTCTGGACTACTGTGAACTCATACCTGAGTGTCTTTCAACCCTAGTACCTTTCTAGCATGTGATGTTATTTACATTTGTGTCTTTTTTTTTTTTTTTTTGTGGGACAGTCTCGCTCTGTTGCCCAGGCTGTAGTGCAATGGTGCGATCTCAGCTCACTGCAACCTCTGCCTCCTGGGTTCAAGCAATTTTCCTGCCTCAGCCTCCCGAGTAGCTGGGATCACAGGCACTCACCACCACGCCTGGCTAATTTTTTTTGTATTTTTAGTAGAGATGGGGTTTCATCATGTTAGCCAGGCTGGTCTCGAACTCCTGACCTCAAGTGATCCACCTGTCTCAGCCTCCCAAAGTGCTGTGATTACAGGCATGAGCGACTGTGCCTGGCCCACATTTGTGTCTTATCTCCTATAAGACACCATCAGTTCTTTGAGGGCTGCATCCATGTCTGACTTATCTTTATGTCTTCACACAAAAGGTACTCAAATATTTGAACAAATAAATGAATAACCAAACAAATCAATCCTACTCTGTGCCTTAGCACTTGGAAAAACTATACCCTGGAGCCATATGAATGAAATAAAAACATGGTAGACAACAGGCATGGCCAGGGGCCAGGGCAGCTGCATTGCCACAGCACCCTGTAGCAAGAAGCCTGACTTTCCAGACCAATAAGGACAGGACCTGAATATATTATAAGTGGCACAGAGCCAAATGCCTATTTCATGATACTTCTTGTGCTTACATGCAGAGGGGTTCAAAGAAAAAATCATTGCACTGAAATCCTCTATCTACTTGTGTTGCTTTCACTGTTTGTTTAATGAATGAAATGAAGCCACTCCAGGTTTGTGGTTTTAGCTGGGCCACTTACTACTGCATTCTTACGAAACTCACTAAACCCTTCTGGGTCGCAGTTTCTCCATATTTCCTCTGTCAAACACATGGGGCATCATGAGAGTCTCGTGGATATGAAAGGGTGATCAGTGTGTGAAATGCCATCGTACACACAGCAATGAGAATTTCAACAAGTTCCCATGGTGTGTTCATGGAAGCGGCCACGATCTTCCCAATGCTGGTGAAGCCAGTGTCTCTGAGAACCAGAAACAGCATTTTCAAGTTTTTTTTTTTTTTTTTTTTTTGAGACAACGTCTCACTCTGTTGTCGAGGCTGGAGTGCAGTGGCATGATCACAGCTCACCGCAGCCTTGACCTCCCAGGCTCAGGTGATCCTCCCACCTCAGCCTCCCAAGCAGCTGGGACTATGGGTACATGCAACGACGCCTGGCTAATTTTTCTTTTTCTTTTTTTTTTTTGAGACAGAGTCTCGCTTAGTCGCCCAGGCTGGAGTACAATGGCGCGATCTCGGCTCACTGCAAGCTCCGCCTCCCGGGTTCACGCCATTCTCCTGCCTCAGCCTCCCGAGTAGCTGGGACTACAGGCGCCCGCCGCCTCGCCCGGCTAATTTTTTGCATTTTTAGTAGAGACGGGGTTTCACCGTGTTAGCCAGGATGGTCTCGATCTCCTGACCTCGTGATCCGCCCACCTCGGCCTCCCAAAGTGCTGGGATTACAGGAGTGAGCCACCGCGCCCGGCCTGGCTAATTTTTCAATTTTTTTTTGTTTTTGTAGAGATGGGGTTTTGCCATCTTGCCCAGGCTAGTCTTGAACTCCTGGGCTCAAGCGATCCTCCCACCTTGGCCTCTCAAAATGCTGGGATTGTAGGTGTTAGCCACTGCACCTGGCCATTTTCAAGTTTTTCAAGTCCAGTTTTAATCAGACATACTGAGTGCTCTTGCTTTTAAAAAATGAAATTTGAGGCCAGGCACAGTGGCTCACCCCTGTAATCCTAGCACTTTGAGAGGCCGAGGCAGCAGGATCACCTGAGGTCAGTAGTTCAAGACCAGCCTGGCTAACATGGTGAAACCTCATCTCTACTAAAACTACAAAAATTAGCCGGACATGGTGACACATGCCTGTAATCCCAGCTACTCGGGAGGCTGAGGCAAGAGACTTGCTTGAACCCAGGTGGCAGAGGTTGCAGTGAGCTGAGATTGCACCACTGCACTCCAGCCTGGGCAACAGAGTGAGACTCTGCCTCAAAAACAAAACAAAACAAAACAAAACCAAAAATTCCCAGAAATTAAAAATTTGCAAGACAGGCCAGGCACAATGGCTCACACCTGTAATCCCAGCACTTTGAGAGGCTGAGGTGGGAGGATCACTTCAGCCCAGGAGTTTGAGACCAACCTGAGCAACATAGGGAGGCCTCGTCTCTGTTATAAATCAAATATACAAAAAATTAGCTGGGTGTGGTGGTATATGCCTGTAGCCCCAGCTACTTGGGATGCTGAAGTGGGAGGATCACTCAAGCTCGGGAGGTCAAGGCTGCGGTGAGCTGTGATGGTGCCACTGCACTCTAGTCTGGGCAACACAGCGAGACCCTGTCTCAAAAGAAAAAAAAAGTCTCAAGACAGCCATTTAGTAATGAATAAAAATAGCTGATCTCCCTTTATTTAAAAGACTTTCACTTCAACCAGAGAATTAGAAGCTAAAAAAAGGAAAAGACTTTTACTACTGAATATTTCACTGCCAGACTGCAATTCATGAATTTCTTGGCTTGAGGTTCTGTTTTTTTTTTCTTTTCTTTTCTCTTTCTTTTTTTTTTTTTTTTTTGGCAGGGAGTCTCGCTCTGTCACCCAGGCTGGAGCGTGGTGGCACGATCTTGGCTCACTGCAACCACCACCTCCTAGGTTCAAGCTATTCTCTTGCCTCAGCCTCCCGAGTAACTGGGATTACAGGTGCATGCAGCTGCGCCCAGCCTTGGCTTGAGGTTCTGGAAGCCACGTTTCGTCAGTAAGGTGGCAGTCAAGTTTATTTCTGTCTCCTACAAGACACCTTGCAACACAATTACCTCACCTGTTAAGAGGAGTTAACCATATTATCTCAACTCTCAGAACTGTTCAAAGAAACAACCAGGTTCTCTTGAAACGCAAAAGCCTACCAAAGGATGTAAAAGTTAGCTCACATGAAGTCAAACACTGGCACTAAAATAGTCTCAAGTCGGCCGAGCACAGTGGCTCACGCCTGTAATCCCAGCACTTTGGGAGGCCAAGGCGGGAGGATCACTTGAGGTCAGGAGTTTGAGACCAGCCTGACCAACATGGTGAAACCCTGTCTCTACTGAAAATACTGGGCATGGTGGTATGCGCCTATGGTAATCCTAGCTACTCGGGAGGCTGAGGCATGAGAATCACTTGAACTCTGGGAGGCAGAGATTGCACCATTGCACTCCAGTCTGGGTGTCAGAGCAAGACCCTGTCTCAATCAATCAATCAATCAGTCAAATAGTCTCAAGTAGATGGCATCATCAAACACACCAGGCTGGGTGCCTATTCTATGCCAAGCACCTTGGCTGACACAGAGAAGTATAAATCTCTGGAGCATATATCTCTGGACATGACTTCAATCACATTCTCCCCACACAAAATCAACCTCCCAGAATAGAGGAAATCTAAGATGATACGTGAGAAAAAGTTCTGAAAACTCTCTTATTTGATCCCCACAACCGTTACCTGTGAGAGAGGCAGGGCAGGGATGATTATCCCCATTTTACAGATGACAAAACAGACTCAAAGAGATTCAGTGATTTAACCAAGGTCCCACTGCCGGTCAGAGGAAGAGAGTGGGTTCCTCCCATGTCTCCAAACTGCCCCCAACACGCTTACATTCTAGTTGTAGAGGTAAAACACAAACATACACGAAGAAACAATGCCCCGCATACAGCAGGTGCTCAATTAATGCATATTGGTGGTGGTGGTGGTGGCAGTAATGGTGACTGATGATGATCATAATGAGATGGTGATACTGGTGATGATTGTAGTGATGACGATGGTACTGATGATGGTACTGGTGATGATGGTACTGGTGATGATGGTAATGACGATGATACTAGTGATGATGATACTGATGATTATGGTACTGGTGATGATGGTACTGATGATGGCACTGGTGATGATGGTACTGATGATGATGGTACTGGTGATGATGGTACTGATGATGTTGGTAGTGACAATGATGATGGTGATAATGATCATGATGATGGGAGAACACAAGGCACAGACAGTGTGTACTAAATGACTGACAGGGCTGATGAATGTTAAGGGAACTCACCTGAGTCCTCTCCATACCAGTCAGCCTGGACATCCATCATAGAACTCATGGCTACTCCTGCACCTTCTGGTCTTCCCTCCAAACTCCGAGAAAAGTGATGGTCAGCATCATCCTTGCTCGGGGCAGCGCTGTTGCGCAAGAGCGCCTCCAGGAACTGCTTCACGTGGTAGTTGCTGTAAGCCAAGTCAACCGTCTGGCCGCTGGGCAAGGCCTCCTCCACGTGGGCCAGGTTCAGCGGGGCAGCATACTGCTGCAGCTGTTCCCCAACGTCCACCTCCACTTCATCAGCATCAAATTCCACCTTGGGCTCTATCCGTTTGGGTGGAGTAGAGAGGTCGCTGTCAGCCGAGCCACCGCCAAGGCTGTCTTTCACCACCAGTTCCAAGGGATGGCAGTCTCCGCAGTCACCGCAAGGGGACTCTCTCAGGCAGTCCACGCTCTTTTCTCCCACGGCTGGAGAGGAGACCAAGCTCTTGGTACCACAGGAGGTACCCTCCCGGCCTGAACTGGGGCTTCCACTGTCAACCTGATGAGCCGCCGCTGCCGCCGCCGCTGCAGCCGCCGCCGCTGCTGCCGCCACTGCTGCAGCCACAGCAGCCTCCTTCTCCATCTTTCGGCAAATGTCGAGGGATGACCTAATGTATGTCTTGCAGAAGTTCACCACATCATTCATCTGCAGGTAGCTGGCAGCCGACATCACTTCAATCACATTCTCCCCACACAAATCCAACTTCCCAGAATAGAGGAAATCTAAGATAATGGAGAAGGCATCAGAGGTGACAATGTCCAAAGAGGCGGTGCTATGCCGCCCGCTGTCCTGGATATAGTGAATGAGCAGGGCTCGGAAGTAGCCGCTGTTAGCAAACAAAATGTTCCTGTGGGCCTTGAAGATCCGCCCTTCCACAATGATGCTGCAGTCACAGAAAAAGTCCCTCTTTCTCTGTTCATTCAGCTCCCCCAAAAGCTTGGCATAATAGGATTGCATCTCCATTGCTCCGCCAGCTGCTGCTGCTCCAGAGTAAACCTGTATCTCTGTCAAGATTTTTCTTAAGTTAATTCACAAATCTCAACCTTTACAAATATGATTTTTTTTTTTTTTTTTTTTTGAGACGGAGTCTCGCTCTGTCGCCCAGGCTGGAGTGCAGTGGCGCGATCTCGGCTCACTGCAAGCTCCGCCTCCCGGGTTCACGCCATTCTCCTGCCTCAGTCTCCTGAGTAGCTGGGACTACAGGCGCCCGCCACCACGCTCAGCTAAATTTTTTGTGTATTTAGTACGGGGTTTCACCGTGTTAGCCAGGATGGTCTCGATCTCTTGATCTCCTGATCCGCCAGCCTCGGCCTCCCAAAGCGCTGGGATTACAGGCGTGAGACATCGCGCCCAGCCAATAATATTTCTTTTAAAAATTTTAAACAAGGCTGGGTGCGGTGGCTCACGCCTGTAATCCCAGCACTTTGGGAGGTCGAGACGGGCGGATCACAAGGTCAGGAGATGGAGACCACCCTGGCTAACACAGTGAAACCCTGTCTCTAATAAAAATACAAAAAATTAGCCGGGTGTGGTGGCCGGCGTCTGTAGTCCCAGCTACTGGGGAGGCTGAGGCAGGAGAATGGCCTGAACCTGGGAGGCGGAGCTTGCAGTGAGCAGATACGGTGCCACTGCACTCCAGCCTGGGCAACAGAGCAAGACTCCATCTCAAAAAAAAAAAAAAAAAAAATTTAAACAATTTTTCCAAAACCAGTGGTCCAATAGTATCTGTAGGATATGGGCTTCCCAGCACTTTGGGAGGACAAAGCAGGCAGATCACTGTGAGACCAGCCTGTCCAACATGGTGAAACCCCTTCTCTGCTAAAAATACAAAACTTAGCCCGGCCTGTAATCCCAGCTACTAGGGAAGCTGAGGTGGGAGGATCGCTTGAAGCCAGGAGGTGTAGGCTGCAGTGAACTAAGATTGCACCACTGCACTCCAGCCTGGTTGACAGAGCAAGATTCCATCTCAACAACAACAATAATAATAATAATAATAATAATAATAATAATAATATGGTCTGCTTTGGATCTAATAAAAATCAGAGGTTATCCAACTGGGTTAATTTATGAAAAAAAAATAATAACTATAGCTAACTGCATGTAAGCACAGTGCTTACTATTTTACATTGATTCTTTCAGTGAATTTTTATAAAAACCTTACAAGTAAATATTGTCTCCCTTGTTCTGATAAGGAAATTGAGGGTAGGAGATGACCCAGTTGTAACAGATCTGGGACTCAAAATCAGGTCTATTGGCCTCCAGAGCCAATGCTCTAATGTACTACATTCTACTTTCTTCAAGGCTCAAAATACAGAAAATATTCACATCTAAGAATTATAGTTGAGGCCAGGTGCGGTGGCCCACATCTGTAATCCTAGCACTTTGGGAGGCTGAGGTGGGCAGATCAGCTGAGGTCTGGAGTTTGAGACCAGCCTGGCCAACATGGCAAAACCCTGTCTCTACTAAGACTACAAAAATTAACTAGGCGTGGTGGTGGGTACATGAGTCCCAGCTACTCGGGAGGCTGAGGCAGGAGAATTGCTTGAACCCGGGAGGCAGAGGATGCAATGAGCTGAGACTGTGCCACTACACTCCAGCCTGGGCGACAGACTGAGATTCTGACTCAAAAAAAAAAAAAAAAAATTATAGTTGAGTCTTTAGTGTATCACTCTGAAACTGGTTTTCTTTTTTAGAGACAGGGTCTTGGTCTGTCACACAAGTTAGAGTGCAAGTGGTGTGATCATAGTTCACTACACCCTCAAATTCCTGGGCTCAAGCAACCCTCCGACTTCAGTCTCCCAAGACCTAGGACTACAAGTGTGTACCACTGTGCCCGGCCAATTAAACAAATTTTTTTTTGTAGAGATGGTAGTCTTGCTATGTTGCCCAGGCTGGTCTCAAGCTCCTTGCCTCAAGCGATCCTCCTGCCTCCACTTCCCAAAGTCCTGAGACTACAAGAGTAAGCCACCACACCCAGCCTCCAGCATCCCAATCCAAAACTTTGAGACTGGTCTCTTTTTTTTTTTTTTTTTTTTTTGAGATGGAGTCTTGCTCTGTCGCCCACGCTGGAGTGCAGTGGTGCAATCTCGGCTCACTGCAACCTCCACCTCCTGGGTTCAAGCGATTCTCCTGCCTCAGCCTCCTGAGTAGATGGGATTACAGGTGCATGCTGCCATGCCCAGCTAATTTTTTCTATTTTAGTAGAGATGGGGTTTCACCGTGTTACCCAGGCTGGTCACAAACGAGACTGGTCTCCTTTTATCATCGTTACACTGAAGCATTTGGTGGATTCTTGGGCTAGCCAGCATGTATTCCACATTCTTTTGGTTCTAGTGCCTTTTTTGGCTTTGATGGAAGCATCCTTCCCCCATTCTTGGCCAACATGCTTTGCATAAAGCTGATGCCATCCTCAAGCACCAGGTGTGTAAGCTATAATGTAGGCTCATAAAATTAACGCATCCCGGCCGGGCGCGGTGGCTCACGCCTGTAATCCCAGCACTTTGGGAGGCCGAGGCGGGCGGATCACAAGGTCAGGAGATCAAGACCATCCTGGCTAACACTGTGAAACCCCGTCTCTACTAAAAATGCAAAAAATTAGCCGGGCGAGGCGGCGGGCGCCTGTAGTCCCAGCTACTCGGGAGGCTGAGGCAGGAGAATGGCGTGAACCCGGGAGGCGGAGCTTGCAGTGAGCCGAGATCGCGCCACTGCACTCCAGCCTGGGCGACTAAGCGAGACTCTGTCTCAAAAAAAAAAAAAAAAAAAAAATTAACGCATCCCACCCTCTGACCACAGTGATTGGCTCAGAGACGGCCTTGTGGCTTTCAGAGCCAATGAAAAGCAATGAAACATTTGCTGGAATTTCAAAAAAGAGCACTCTCTGCTCTGTGGGATGCAGGATGTGAGGGATGTTGCTGCCACACCACCAGGGAAATCAGCCTAACAAAGATGACGGCCCAGGTCAGGCTGATGGAGCCTGGGGACAACATCGCAGCCCCAACTCAAGCAGTACCAGAAGCCAATTAAGTTCCTTTTTGGTTTAGCTGGTCTTAGTTAGGTTTTCTTTTTTAAATATTTTTTATTTTTTTTGAGATGGGGGAGGGGGTCTCACTCTGTCACCCAGGCTGGAGTGCAGTGGTGTGATCTCGGCCCTCTCCGACCTTCACCTCCCTGGCTAAAGTAATCCTCATACCTCAGCCTCCCGAGTAGCTGGGACTACAGGTACCCACCCCCGGCTAATTTTTTTTTGTATTTTTGGTAGAGACAGGGTTTTGCCATGTTGCCCAGGCTGGTCTCGAACTCCTGGCCTCAAGTGATCTGCCCCCCCCCCCGCTTGGCCTCCCAAAGTGCTGTGGTTACAGGTGTGAGCCACCACACCTGGCCTCTGAGTTGGGTTTTCTATTTCATGCAACTGGGAGACTCCTAACTGATTCCACTACCCTTGGTTAACTCCTGCTTATTATTTATGTCCTGGCCCTTTTCTGTCAATGAACTACAAGCCCTTTGAAAGCATCAGCCATGTCTTATTCAATTTTATATCCCTTACAGTATCTGGCAGAGTGCTTTGGACAAAATAGATTTGTTCTTCTTTTTTTTTTTTCTTTTTGAGGCAGAGTCTTGCTCTGTTGCCTGGGCTGGAGTGCAGTGGTGTGATCTTGGCTTACTGCAACCCCCACCTCCTGGGTTCAAGTGATTCTCCTGCCTCAGCCTCCCAAGTAGCTGGGATTACAGGCATGCGCCACCATGCCCAGCTAAGTGTTGTATTTTCAGTAGAGATGGGGTTTCACCATATTGGCCAGGCTGGTCTCGAACTCCTGACCTTGTGATCCGCCTACCTTAGCCTCCCAAAGTTCTGGGATTACAGGCGTGAGCCACCGTGCCCAACCGACAAAATAGATTTGTTAAGCAAAAAAGGAATACTCATTTCTTAACTGCTTAGTAGATAAACTATAAACCAAGTTTAAAATCCCCTTGGGGCCAGGCATGGTGGCTCACACTTGTAATCCCAGCACTTTGGGAGGCCAAGGTGGGCAGATCACCTGGGCTCAAGAGTTCGAGACCAGCCTGGCTAACATAGCGAAACCTTGTGTCTACTAAAAATACAAAAATTAGCTGGGTGTAGTAGCAGGTGCCTGTAATCCCAGCTACTCAGGAAGCTGAGACACAAGAATTGCTTGAACCCAGGAGGCAGAGGTTGCAGTGAGCCGAGATCGCACCACTGCACTGCAGCCTGGGGGATAGAGTGAGACTCTATCTCCAAAAGAAGTAAATAAATAGATAAAATCCACTTGGTAATGAGGAGGACAGAGACACTGACCTGTTCCCCAACTCCCCCTACCCCATCTTCTTCCATCACATAAATCACATAACCATCCATCAGCTATTACCCCTTTACCTACTGACCCATTGAGATCAGAGAGGTTCCTATAGCCAAGTGCATCCCCTCTACTGGAATCACAAAAGGGTTAGCTAGAGCTGGCAACCTCTGCCAATAGCTCTTTAACCACTCTTCCTCTCCACAAATGGAACACACCAAGACCTTTCCCAGTGAGAAATCAGGCGCCCCTTGCCCCAGTAAAGGGTTCCTCCACTGGCAAAATTCAAGGCTTATGCATTAATTGTGCAGACTTTACTCATAAAAGACTTACTGGAACCTTATTAAATGGCAACTTATACCTACTTTGTATGTATTTATAACAAATGATAGAGTTAAGTTTAGAAACTAGAGAATCAACTCAGGAGGAGAGTGGAGAGAAGCCTCTGTAAGTACAGTAAACTGACAAACCTAAAAGAGAAAACTGACAGCTATAAAAAAGTTAAAAAGCTATAAAAGGTAGATCTAGAAATTTTTTCAAGATATCAGCCGGAGGCCATTTAGCTAAGGGTATTAAATACTCCTACATATTCAAAATGGCCTAAGGACATCACTAAATTAAGCCCAGGGCTATAACCGATGGGCCTAAGGTATTAAGAAGATTCCTATGGCGGGTGCAGTGGCTCAAGCCTGTAATCCCAGCACTTTGGGAGGCCAAGACGGGCGGATCACAAGGTCAGGAGATCGAGACCATCCTGGCTAACACAGTAAAACCCCGTCTCTACTAAAAAAAATACAAAAAACTAGCCGGGCGTGGTGGCAGGCGCCTGTAGTCCCAGCTACTTGGGAGGCTGAGGCAGGAGAATGATGTGAACCTGGGAGGCAGAGCTTGCAGTGAGTGGAGATCGTGCCACTGCACTCCAGCCTGGACAACAGAGCGAGACTCTGTCTCAAAAAAAAAAAAAAAAAAGATTCCTATCTTAATATTCATTTTAAACTCAAGGAAGTTATGTCATAATTTTAGGATTTTTTTTCCCATCCAAAGTAGTTAAAGTTAACATTTTGGTCAAAAAAGAGAACTGTCGGATATCTGAAAAATTCTATTACCGGCCGGGCACGGTGGCTCAAGCCTGTAATCCCAGCACTTTGGGAGGCCGAGGCGGGTGGATCACAAGGTCAGGAGATCGAGATCATCCTGGCTAACATGGTGAAACCCCGTCTCTACTAAAAATACAAAAAACTAGCCGGGCGTGGTGGTGGGCGCCTGTAGTCCCAGCTACTCGGAGGCTGAGGCGGGAGAATGGCGTGAACCCGGGAGATGGAGCTTGCAGTGAGCCGAGATTGTGCCACTGCACTCCAGCCTGGGCAACACAGCGAGACTCCGTCTCAAAAAAAAAAAAAAAGAAAAAAAGAAAAATTCAATCAAAACTTTCACAGGACTAAGGTTTCACTGACATTCTCACCCCTTCCCACTGCTCCAACCAAGCTTTCTTGGCAGTGTCTGCTGTTGCCTTTGACAATCAAAATACTAACGGAAAAACAAGAGACAGAAAAAAAATATTACATTTTATTCTTTCTTAGAACTGAAAAAAAACACGTCAGACTGATAAAATCACATTTTTCAATATGATAATATCCAGTTTGGTGGGAACACAATTTGGAATACCACATCAGAGGAGAATTTGGCAATATTTATCAAACTTCAGATGTACACACCTTCTGCCTTGGCAAACTCATTGCGATACATTTACTCATTTGAATACATTCCCCCAAATATATCAAATTATAAGTTCAGGGCTGGGCATGGTGGCTGACGCCTGTAATCCCAGCACTTTGGGAGACCGAGGTGGGCAGATCACTTGAAGTCAGGAGTTCAAGATCAGCCTGGCCAACATGGTGAAACCCCATCTCTACTAAAAATACAGAAATTAGCCGGGTGTGGTGGTGCACGTCTGTAATCCCAGCTACTCAGGAAGCTGAGTCAGGAGAATTGCTTGAACCTGGGAGGCAGAGATTGCAGTGAGCCGACATTGCACCACTGCACTCCAGCCTGGGCGACAGAGCAAGACTCCATCTCAAAAAAAAAAATTATAAGTTCAGGGCTGGGCACAGTGACTCATGCCTGTAATCCCCGCACTTTGGGAGGCTGAGGTGAGCAGATTATTTGACCTCAGGAGTTTGAGACCAGCCCAGGCAACATGGCAAAATTCTATCTCTACAAAAAATTTAAAAGATTTGCTAGGTTTGGTGGCACATGCCTGTGGTCCCAGCTACAAGAAGGCTGAAGCGGGAGAATCGCTTGGGCCTGGGAGGTCAAGGCTGCAGTGAGTTGTGATGGCATCCCTGCACTCCTGCCTGGGAGACAGAGCAAGACCCTGTCTCAAATAAAATAAGTTCGGAGATGTCTGTTACACCACGATTTTGTACTAGCGCAAAAGTAGAAACAATGTGAATGTCCATCAATAGGGGACAAGTTAAATCAATGACTTTACAATCACACAATGGAATATTATGCAACCATGTAGAATTGCCTGTGTTCATGTGAAAAAGTCACCAAGATATATTAAAAAAAAAAAGCAAGATGCAAAACAAAATGTATAGTTGATCCTATGCATAAATGCTTTTGCTGGCAAATATATGTTTTTCTGGAAGGCTATATGAGAATTAACAGCACCCTTGGGGAAAGGGAGTACAGTTAAGAAGTGGGTGGAGGGGCCGGGCGCGGTGGCTCACGCCTGTAATCCCAGCGCTTTGGGAGGCCGAGGCGGGCGGATCACAAGGTAAGGAGATCGAGACCACGGTGAAACCCCGTCTCTACTAAAAATACAAAAAATTAGCCGGGCGCGGTTGTGGGCGCCTGTAGTCCCAGCTACTCAGGAGGCTGAGGCAGGAGAATGGCGTGAACCCGGGAGGCGGAGCTTGCAGTGAGCCGAGATCGCGCCACTGCACTCCAGCCTGGGCGACAGAGCGAGACTCCGTCTCAAAAAAAAAAAAAAAAAAAAGAAGAAGTGGGTGGAGGGGCCAGGCACAGTGGCTCACACCTGTAATCCCAGAACTCTGGGTGGCCAAGGAGGGCAGATCACGAGGTCAGGAGTTCAAGACCAGCCTGGCCAACATAGTGAAACCCTGTCTCTACTAAAAATACAAAAAAAAAATTAGCTGGGTGTGGTGGCGGGCACCTGTAATCCCAGCTACTCGGGGGGCTGAGGCAGGAGAATCACTTGAACCCAGGAGGCGTTGGAGGTGGAGGCTGCAGTGAGCAGAGATTGTGCCACTGCACTCCAGCCTGGGCGACAGTGCAAGACTCTGTTTCAAAAAAAAAAAAAAAAGTGTGTGGAGGGACTTTTGCCTTTAATTTTAAATCTTTCTGATAGAATGTTTTACTATGTGCATGTATTGTTTGTCTTTTCTTTTGAGACAGGGTCTCACTTTGTTACCCAGGCTGGAGTGCAGTGGCATGATCACAGTTCAGAGCAGCCTCGACCTCCCAGGCTCAAGCAATCCTCCTGCCTCAGCCTCCTGAGGAGCTGTGACTACAGGCATGCATCACCACACTCAGCTAATTCTGAAAACATTTTTTTATAGAGATGGGGTCTCACTATGTTGCCTGGCTGGTCTCAGTGGTCTTGAACTCCTGGACTCAAGTGATCCTTCTGCCTTGGCTTTGTTCTTTGTTAACTAAGAAAAAAAGGAGGCAGGGCAGAGGGGTGAGGAGTTGGTAAGCCAGGTAGATAAACATGTAAGTAGGTACAACATTTCTTAACTTGTAGTATGGTCTGATCTACAGGGGCTCTTCCCAGAGCACTTCCGTCTTTCACTGGAAGAGCCTCCTTTCCAGCAATAGCACCTAAAACCAATTTATTTTGGCTTTCTCACTTAAATTATTTTTTATTCTATTGCAATTATTTTTATTCTACTTCCTGATTTGCAAAAGTCTTCCCATATAGTACTTTCTTCAAAATTTTCCCCAATCCTGTACTTGGTATATATTGTGTATATATTTATTTATATCACCCCCATTTGCCTGAAGTGCTCTGCGGCCCCGGGAAATGCTGAGGATCACCACTTCTCCCAGAAAAGCAGCTCTGAGGGCAGACCGCTCTCAGAAGCACATTTATCTGCACTCTGGCAGGGAACCTCCCAACCACCCCACGGTTCCAACTCAATTCAATGGTTACCAGCTACATACAATGCCTGACACAAGGAAGATGCCAGGAATAGAAAAATGAACCAAGTATAGTGCCTGTCCTCCAGGAGACAGCAGATGCCAACACAGCTACCTGCAATACAAACTCTCATATACCCTTGAGGGAGTCCTAGCCAGATCACACAACTGTCTCTGTTCAGAGGCCAAAAGCAGCATTGAATTCCACCCCCAACCTTTTCTGACAAGACTCCTCCAGTCCCACCAACCTGAGAATAACAAAAACCTGCTCCTCAATTTTAGCAAAATATTGAGCACTATTCCTTATAAAACACTGTGCAAAGTACAAGCATATTCATTTTACTTTTTAAATTAAAATTTTTAAAAGGCACGGTCTTGCTCTGTTGCCCAGGCTGGAGTGCACGATCCTACCTCAATGCAGCCTGGAACTCCTGGGCTCAAGAGATCCTCCCAACCTCAGCTTCCCTAGTAGCAGGGACTACAGGTGCGCGCCACCATGCCCGGCTTTTACAAGCACATTAGTTTTCACCTCACAATAACCCAGTGCAACAGATACTCTAACTACATCCTCTTTTTCAGAGGAGGAACTGAGATTCAAAGATAAAAATAACATCACCAAGTTAGGAATGGAACAGAGAGACTGACTCCCGGGTTGACATCCTTAACCACTATGCTAATCGGCCTCTCCAAACCCTCCAGGACACGATGCGACAGGTTGGGGAAGTCACTCCTTTCTTTTAGGCATGGATCGGAGGAGAACGACATTAGAGAAGTTTCCATTTCCACACGAAGAATTTCAGGGTCAACTGCATCTAAATTGCTCGCAAGACAGACCCTCCCCCGCCCAGCACCAGACGACCTGCACAGGCCACCAGAACCAGCTACAGGGCATGGCCCCCGAGGATGGGGCCCCGAGGCCTAGCCCCTCCCGTGGCCTCCCGCGGACAAAGTGGCCATCGCTGCGGCTGGCACTTCCCCAGTGTGGCTGAGCCCCCACGCCTGGGTACCATTCACCGTGGAAGAAGTCGGCGCTGCGACCCCCGGCTGGACGACGCGGAGAGCACCCAATGACAGGGAAGCTGGGAGCCCACAGCCGTGCCTGCCCCTCCCCACGCTGGAAGGGCTCGCGGGGCGGAGGTCCCAGGAGTTGCCAGGGCCAAGCGGTCCGAAGGAGGATGACTGAGTGGCGGCAATCCTGCTCCCTAACCCCAATCTCAGGCCAGCCTCCCGGGTGCTCGGAATCCTCCCCAAACCAACGAAAGCGGCAGCGCCAACCCGCTTCTTGGCGCTCACCTTCCAGCGGGTTCCAGCAGCGCAGCCACGGAGCTCCGCGCACCGACACGCCCCCCTTTCATTCACCTGGCGCCCTCCGATGAGAGGCGGGGCGGCTGGCCAATCGCGGGAGCGCCTGGCCTCGGGAAGGCGGGCCCTTCGGCCAGCAGGGTGGTCAATGGCGCTGGTGCCCCTCGGAGGATGCGCTCTGAAGGCGCCGGTGCTAGCAGGGTGATGGGAGTTGTGGTCTCAGCGCTGGCTTTTCTGGTAAAGATAGAGTGGACAAAACTACAAGTACCAAGATGCCAAAAGGGGCGAGGACCAGTGCTAGCGAAAGGCTGCAGCTCGGTTCGGTCTTTTGAGTCCCACTTGAGGGACCTGCCAAGTACCGGTCTCTTTGTCTGGAGAGCGAAAAGCACGTCGTGGGTATTAATGCAGCCCAGGGAATAAGAGCTGTGACTCATCAGTCAGCACATATTTCACCTACTGGCGCTCTCCGCAAAGATCTGGAAATAAGTGAAATGATTTAATCGATTCAACAGGTTTTTATTGCATACCCGCGGTTTCCTTTACTGGGTAGTCGTTACAAAAGATAAAAGATTCAGCTCTTCCCTTGACAGGCTCTCCGGTTCGTACATACTAGTGAAACGGTTAAATGGCAGTACTAGGTGCTAAGTGACCGTACAGGCGTGTTCTGGAACAGCTGTGAGCAAGACAAGGCAGCTTACCGCTCTCAGGGAGCTTAGTTCTAATGGGGGTGTATTCGTTTGCTAGGGCTGCTCTACCTAAATGTCACCAACCGGGTGGCGTCAATAACAGATCTTATTGTGTCACAATCCTGGGGGCATCTGAAAGCAAGATGTTGGCAGGGTTCGTTCCTTCTGTGAGGAAACGGTCTGTTCCAGACTTCTCTCCTGGGCTTACATATGGCCATCTTCATGTTCACAGGGCATATTCCCTGTATATGTCTCCATGTCAAAATGTCTCCTTTTGGTTGCGGTGAGTCGAGATCGCGCCACTGCACTCCAGCCTGGGGCGACAGACAGAGACTCCGTCTAAAAAAAAATACAATACAATACAATAAAAATTAAGTATTTTTATAAGGATACCAGTCATATTGGACTAGGGATTCACTCTACGCCAGTATGACTTTTTTTTTTTTTTTTTTTTTTTTTTTAATGTATGGAGTCTCGCTCTGTCGCCCAGGCTGGAGTGGTGGCGGGTGGATCACTTGAGGTCAGGAGTTTGAGACCAGCCTGGCCAACATGGTGAAACCCCATTTCTACTAAAAATACAAAAATAAGCCGGGCGTGGGTGGTGTGTGCTAGTAATCCCAGCAACTCAGGAGGCTGAGGCAGAGGAATGGCTTGAACCCGGGAGGTGGAGATTGCAGTAAGTGGAGATCTGGCCACTGCACTCCAGCCTGGGCAGCAGAGCAAGACTCTGTCTCAAAAAAAAAAACAAAAAAACAAAAAAAAGACTACCCTCTCCACTGAGAGACCCTAATGAGAAGTAGTGAGCCATGCTAAGATGAAACAGAAAACCGGTTGGTACATGTCTAAAAAATGGGAGGATGCCATTGGGTTGAGGAAGTGGATGGCAGGTAGACCAGCTTCATGGGCATGCAACCCATGTGGTGGCACAGGGCCGCATCCTCAGAAAGGGCTGGTGCTTCCAGGTGAAGTTTTTTACTTAACAAAACAAAACAAAACAAAAAAAGAGCCAGGTGCGGTGGCTCACACCTGTAATCCCAGCACTTTGGGAGGCTGAGGCAGGTGGATCACTTGAGACCAGCCTGCCCAACATGGCAAAACCCAGTCTCTACTGAAAATACAAAAATTAGCTGGGCATGGTGACACATACCTGTAATTCCAGCTACTTGGGAGGCTGAGGCACGAGAATCTCTTGAACTTGAAAGGTGGAGGTTGCAGTGAGCCGCGATCGTGCCACTGCACTGTTTCAAAAAAAGAAGAAGAGGAAGAGGAGGAGGAGCAGGAAGAAGAAAAATTAAATTACTAACAAATAAAAATAATAAAGTCTAAATAAATATTTTAAGAATTCAAAAAAAAGGAAAGAAAGGGCTGATACCTGGTTTAATGCTCTGCCATTGCCCTCTTAAAATTCTTAATAGTTTTTGAACAAGGAGCTCTGCATTTTCATTTTGCACTGGGCCCCACAAATTATATAGCCAGTCCAGGTGACAGGAAATATGAATGGATAGAGAAGCAAAGGCCAGATTACATAGGAATTTGTAGGCCACCTTAAGGAGTTTGGATTTTTTCTTAGAAATGTGAAGGGACACCTTTGAAGGATCTTAAGCAGGGAAGAGATAAGATATGATCTCTCCCCTGCTGATAGATGCTGATAACTGGGGATAGGGTAGAGGTGGTAGAGGTGGAGGGATTTGTTTAGGATATATTTTAGAACTTGTCAAAAATGTAATTGCAGTTCACTCTAAAGGTAACTTAATAATTTTAGGTGGTGAAATGTCAGCCAAACACCACTGTACTATCTATCAAAGAAAAGCAGTTTACCTATTTCTTGTAAAGCTGGATACCCAGAGAGGGACAGCAGCAGTTACATCTTTCCTCTTAGTGTGGCTGTCCTTGCCACTCAGTCCCCAAAGGCCATCTTGGGTGCTGAGGACTTTTGATCATCAAGGCAGCAGAGAAAGCATCAGAAGTGAGGAGCACCAAGCTTCTCTGGGCTCAGCCTTTTGTATCTTCTCACCTGCGAAGTCATGTCATTGATGCCTTCACCTTAATTGTGACTCTACCTGGAACTCAGCCTAGTATTCATTCCACATTTCCTGCACCCAGGCTCCAAGTTTCAGGTCCCAAATTTTATGACTATGGCACATGCAACCTGTGCTGGATGACCTAGTAACATTCCAGACTGCTAACGTAAAAGGGCTTTTTAGGGTGGACTGCACAGGACATGATCCTGACAACTAGGCATAGGAAATGTCTAGAGGCCTTATGATCTCTAGATATGATGTGGTCTGCTGTGGGACTTACTCTATCCACCTAGACCAGCACAACCTTTAGTATTAGACACTCTGAACTTCGGTGTATCTTTCAAAGTTCAGTTGAAACCAACCTGGCTAGTTTAAGCAGAAAGCAACCTGGCTAGTTTAAACAGAAAAGAATTCCTATAAGGAATTAGGTAATACAAATTGTCAGGAAGGCTAGAGAATGACTCTGCAAGGATGACTCCAAACTGTCCCACCAGGGTAGCTACCCATTTTTGCTGCTATCAGGAAAGTAAGAAATGAGGATGTCATCACTGTACCTGTTAAGCTCAACAACACACTGCCGTGGCTGTGATTCAGGGACTGGAAGTCAACATCACCCTTGCTGCCCCTGAAACAGCCTCTCAACCCCTACATGGCTAGTGACTGGACCCTACAACCCTGCTGCAGACACGCCTCATACCTCTGCTGCCATACATCAGCAGCAAGCAGCAGGCGGGTGGCCTCCACCTCATTTCCAAATCCTGGTCATGACGTTTTAACTCTCCAGATTCTGCAGCACAGGAAGGGACAGTAGAAGGAGATGGGAATGGATGCTGAGTGCCAATCGACAATACCCAGCAGCATGAATGGCACAGCAACGTGTCACTGAATTTAAAACTTAGGACCTCCAGAGCAACAAATAGAGAATTAAAAATTGCTGGCTGGGAGCAGTGGCTTATGCCTGTAATCCCAGCACTGGGAGGATAAAAAAGGTGGATCAGCTGAGGTCTGTAGTTTGAGACTAATCTGGCCAACATTGCGAACCGCCCCCCCCGCCCACTAAAAATACAAAAATTAGGCTGGGTGCGGTAGCTCATGCTTGCAATCCTAGCACTTTGGGAGACCAAGGAAGGCAGATCACCTGAGGTCAGGAGTTTGAGACCAGCCTGGCCAACACGAAACGCCTCTTTACTAAAAATACAAAAAAAGTAGCCAGGTGTGGTACCACGCACATGTAGTCCCAGCTACTCGGGAGGCTGAGGCATGAGAATCACTTGAACCCAGGAAGCAGAAGTTATAGTGAGCAGAGATGGTGCCACTGCACTCCACCGTGGGCAACAGAGTAAAACTCTATCTAAAAAAAATACGTAAATAAAAATAAAAATACAAAAATTAGCTGGGTGTGGTAGCACAGAACTGTAATCCCAGCTACTTGGTAGGCTGAGGCATGAGAATCACTTGAGCCTGGGAGGTGGAGGTTGCAGTGAGCTAAGATGGCACCACTACACTCCAGCCCGGGTGACAGAGCAAGACTCTGTCAAAAAAAAAAAAAAAAAAAAAATTTCTAAGGGATGACTTCCTGCAAAACAAGGAACCCTATCTTCCCAAAGGGAAATGAGAAAGCATTGCAGCAGGCACTATTTGTTTCCCTTGTCTCTTCCTTAATTGTTTTGATTTAAGATATCATAGAATATTCGGAGCTGTTTATTAGTTTCTACAATGCCAGAGTAATTGACTGAAGTATCAGGGTATAACCCCTTCTCTGGTAACTGACACATTTTTGAGTACTGATTGATGTTGGGAGACAGCTTCTGTCAAGAAGTTGACCTGAATCGGCCTGCTCCCTGGGACAGATCGCAAAAAAAAAAAAAAAAAAAAAGTGACCTAGCACAAAGGATACATTCATGAAAACCTCTAGTGGTTAGGGACAAATTGTGAATACCCACGGGGTGACTTTTGCACATAAGAAAGCAAAAAACAGGCTGGGTGTGGTGGCTCACACCTGTAATCCTAGTACTTTGAGAGACTGAGGCGGGCAGTTCACTTGAGGTCAGGAGTTCGAGACCAGGCTGGCCAACAGGGCAAAATCCCATCTCTACTAAAAATACCAAAAAAAAAAAAAAAAAAAAAAAGGCATGGTGGTGTGTGTCTGTAATCCCAGCGACTCAGGAGGCTGAGGCAGGAGAATTGCTTGAACCTGGGAGATGGAGGTTGCAGTAAGCCAGGATCACTGCACTCCAGCCTTGGTGACAGAGTGAGATCCTGTCTCAATAAATAAATAAATAAATAAAAATTTAAAAAGGAAAAACCAACCCCCCTACCCCTAACACCAGGACATGTTCTGGCCTGACAGTGCCCTATAGAAGCACTTGCTCTAACTGGTTAAAGGGACAGTGTTATGATGCCAGCAGGCTCCAAGTTCCTAATGGTACAAGTACTTGACCCAGGATAGGATGCTGCTGACTTATTTTTCACCAAACCACAACAGTCCTCCCACTAATATATGCACAGAGCCAAGAGTTGTGCTTGAGTAGGATGGGGAGCATGCTCCCTTTCATGGCAATGCTTTGCATGAAAACATAGCAGGAGAGTGATACGGTTTGGCTGTATGTCCTCACCCAAATTTCATCTTGAATTGTAGCTCCCATAACTCCCATGTGTTGTGAGAGGAACCCAGTGGGAGGTAATTGAATCATGGGAGCAGGGTGCTGTTCTCATGATGGTGAATAAGTCTCAGGAGATCTGATGGTTTTATAAAGGGCAGTTCCTCTGCACATACCCTCTTGCCTGCCACCACATAAGACATGCCTTTGCTCCTCCTTCACCTTCCACCATGATTATGAGGCCTCCCCAGTCACGTGGAACTGTTTTTTGCTTTCTTATAGTGCAAAAGTCACCCCATGGGTATTCACAATTTGTCCCTAAATTCATTAAACCTCTTCTTCTTTAAAATTACCAAGTCTTGGGTATGTCTTTATTAGCAGCATGAGAACAGACTAATACAGAGAGAAATGAGGATCTGGGGAAGCTGCCCCCAATATTTCAATATAGGTTCTTTCTATTTTCCCTAAGTGTTGGCCAGTCTGAGAAGTAAAGAGAAAGAGTACAAAGAGAAGAATTTTACAGCTGGGCCTCCAGGGGTAACATCACATGTAGGTAGGTCTGTGATATTCCCTGAGCCACAAAACCAGCAAGTTTTTATTAGTGATTTTAAAAGGGGAGGGGGGTATGAACATGGAGTAGGTCACAAAGATTGCATGCTTCAAACAGCAATAAAGGTCACAAGGCAAAGGCAAAATTAGAATTACTGATGAGGG